GTGAACATCGCTTTGGCCGTGAATTGAAGAAACACAGAGGCAAGAATCCAATAAAGAGACGTTCTGAAAGCAAGATACCCTTCACCATTTGCAAAGGCTACCAGATACTAGCTTAAACTTTGGAAGTAAGTCATCGGTTCATCTTTCACCGCGTTCGAGTCATGTATTCACGATAATTACAGTAAGTTCAACATTTGACTTTATCTTTCAAGACCTACACCTTTATTTATTTATTTTAGTAGGTCACCAAGTGCAATTCCACTATGTCTACCTAGACACTATCTTCTTACATCTCGGCACGCTTTTTTGCATAACGCTCCATCGCCATCGCGATTGGTGCTGCGAGCTCATACGGGGCCGATATCTCAGCACTGTCCATTTGACGTCCTTCTTTCCTTACCTCCTGCCTCCTTAAACTGTTCAGGAACCACCTATTAAGTCCATATTTTCTTCATCACTTATTCATCTCCTTCATAGTAATGGAAATTTAACCTTCTCATTTATATTCACACATACATATATACATATATACATGTATATCCACACATTGCGGCATATTTTCAATATTATAAAAAACCTGTATGCGCTTTATATTGGGCCTTAATTGCCACTACATTTTATAACGATGTTCATAATTTGATTAAAATAAAAATACATATATTTACTATATCGCATGCTTAAGAATGATTAAACTTTTCACCTCGTAATCGAGTTATTCTTAATCAAAACCTTCTTCCCCTTTTTCCTTCATCGCTCGAGGTCTAATCTCGAGTAAAGAAATTTGGTTTTCTGATTCAAAATCGAACCGTTCACCGTACGTTGCTGCGCCGTGTAAAGCGACTCATCAAGCCGCTAACTAACTCATTAACGTTCATGTACGACGAGGCTTATAATAAGCAGTCAATAGGTTGTGTTCTTCTCCAGGACATAACAAAGCAATAGTGAAAATGTTGCCACTTTGAATGGAGTGACATCTTACTTTTCATAAGAGTGAATATTTCACTCCAACTAGTAAGTAAAATTTTTACTCCAAGTAGAATAAAATTTTTATGATGAGGTAAAAAGTAAAACCTTTAGTTATATCTTGTTTGTGATTGACCTCTAATTATATCACAATCTTTTTAATGGTGTACTTAGAATTTAGCAAATTCCATTTTTAATAAGCTTGAAAAAATTCGTTTACCCTAGACGGAGTGAGAGAGAGAAAGAACCTGAAAGCTTCTGTTTTTTAATTATTCGCCTTACTTATCGAGTCAGTATTATTAATTGATGAAAATGATTTTTATAACAGTGCGGTCCATAAGTTTTAGGACTGAATTTTCTATCTTTTTTAGTGATCTACCAGAAATGACTATGATAGAGTAGACTCTCTTTCCTTCTCTCTCCCTCTCTGTCCCTCTCTTTCTCTCTCTGTCCCTCTCTCTCCCTTTCTCTCCCGCTCTCTCCCTCTCTCTTCCTCTCTCTCCCTCTTTCTTAGCCATCTCTCTCTCTCTCTCTCTCTCTCTCTCTCTTAGCCATCTACCAGGACGTAGTTAGAAATAGAACTATGTTGTAGAAACCTTACTCGACACATGTGCCAATGGGCATGAGTGTGATTTTAGTAATGATTAAGACCAGATGTTTCGAATCTTCATTATTTAATCTCTGTCACACACACAACCGTGAAATGGATGTGAAGGAAGAGCAACGTGTGGCGATAAAATTTTTTTTTGCAAAGCTGATTTGTCATCTTCGAAAATTGTCGAGTTGTTTCAAAAGGCTTACGGAGATGCCTCCTTGAGTCGTTCATTTTCACTGGCAGCAACGATTCGACAATTTTTTAGCCAAAAACGAGTGGCAACTTTACACTACCCTCCATACTCACCCGACTTGTCTCCTCCCTACTATTTCCTATTTCCAAAGTTGAAAATGCAGCTGGAGAGTACAAGATTTGTCACGATTGAGGATATTCAAGAAGCAGTGATGGACCGTTTAAAGGATTAGCCTCTCATTCTGTCTAGAGTGAGCGAATTTTTTTAAACTTATTAAAAATGGAATTTGCTAAATTCTAAGTACACCATTAAAAAGATTGTGCAATAGTCAGAGGTCTGTCAAATACAAACAGGATATAACTAAAGGTTTTACTTTTTACCTCATCATAAAAATTTTATTCTACTTGGAGTAAAATTTTTACTTACTAGTTGGAGTGAAATATTCACTCTTATGAAAAGTAAGATGTCACTCCATTCAAAGTGGCAACATTTTCACTATTGCTTTATTATGTCCTGGAAGAGAACACAAGCTATTGACTGCTTATTATAAGCCTCGTCGTACACGAAGGTTAATGAGTTGGTCAGCGGCTTGATGAGTCGCTTTACACGACGCAGCAACGTACGGGACCGTTTAAAGGACCGTTTAAAGGACCGTTTAATCCCCGTGGAAGACTTTTCCAACGCCACGAAGAAGTGGGAAACTCGTGCCAACCAGTGTATTGCGTCAAGTGAATCTTATTTTAAATAAATAAAAAAAAGCAATATCCGCTTTCATTTTCTATTTTTTATCGCCTTAGTCTTAAAACTTATGAACCGCACTGTGTATACGTTGTTTCCAAATTATACACTCTTTCATGAGTTGAAAATTTACTCCATACGAGTGAAAAGTCAGTCTGACTCGTGTGACTGTCGTCATTTTATTTGTCGAGCGAAAATTTCCACAAAATCCACGACACAGAATGAAAATTTTCACTCTACGATATACAGGGTGTATTAGACCACTCGCGCCATCTCTTTTATTCGGCAACCGAGTGTCGTACGGAGATTAATAAGAAATTTTTATAGGAAACCTTACCCATAAAATCAATTGGTGCTATTACGATTTTTTAGAAAAAATTGGAAGTGATGGAAGTGATGGAAGAGAAACTGAAGATAATTTTAAAATTTTAAACAGGAACATATATCGAATGTGATATCATTCAATAAGTCTCTGCAAAATAAACAACTTATTAGAAACATTTTTTTTTATTTTTTTTTATTAACCGAGAAAAATAAAAAAACCAAAAATTTCAAATATGTTAATAGGTATTTCAATCCATTAATTAGCCCTTGTTTTTCTGATCAAATGTTTGAATTGTTTTCCATTTGTGGGGGCGAATAAAATAAATTGTTTATAAACAACACCCTACTACAAAAAAAATGAAGGAACGTATTCAAGCAATTGTCTTCCATTAACATTTAAATAAGCTTGTACTCGATGGCGGATGTTGTCTAATGCTCGTAGTATCTCTTCAGCAGATAGAGATCGACAAACTGCTTGAATACGTTCCTTCATATTTTTTGTAGTTGTTTATATATAATTTCTTTTATTCGCCCCGACAAATGGAAGACAATTCGAATATTTGATCTGAAAAGCAAGGGCTAATAAAAGGACTAAAACACGTGTTAACTTATTTGAAATTTTTATTTTCTAAATTTTTCTCGGTTAATAGTTGAAATAAAAAAAATGTTTCTAATAAAAGTTGTTTATTTTGAAGAGACTTATTGAGTGATATCTCAATACATGTTATCACATTCAATACATGTTCCTATTTAAAATTTTGAAGTTATCTTCAGTTTCAATTACTTCCAATTTTTTCCGAAAAATCCTAGAAGCACCAATTGATTCTATGGGTAAGGTTTCCTCTAAAAATTTTTTATTTATTTCCGTATGACATTCGGCTGCCGAATAAAAAATGTCGCACGGGTGGTCTGATACACCCTGTAGAGTGAAGGAATTCACTTTATAAGAATGAGAAGTCATTCTAATTAGAGTGATTCAGTTGTGACTCCATTTTTCATGTGATATTTTTACTCCAAGAAATTTAGAGAATTATATCAATGTTAAAAGATGTAGACTTTATGTTTTTTGCTTATCCAAACACTTTTTTACTTTATGTATTTAACAAAAACATGTCAATATATGATATTTTTGGTAACATGAACTTTTTGTAATATTAAACTTATGATTTGTATATCTTAAAAATGTCTGTTAATTAATAATGGTCTGTAACGGGCCAAAATCTAACGTCAAAATGATATATGCTTGTCATCTGAGAAGTGAGGTATAAATTATGGATTTGTTTAATTCCAGTACTAAAAGTTTAATTTATATAGAAATTGACAAGTATAGATATGTATCTAATATGTTTCGGCAATTTTCTATATGTGACTGGACTAATTTAAATTCCCATACAGTCGATGGAAGAGAGGTAGCAACATTTTTTTAAATGTTGGAACACATCCGTATCAAATAAAAAATATTTTTCATAATTTACACAAAAATAAATTTTCTCATTGAATGCTAAATGTGTTCTGAAGTTTATCGAGAAATAAAAGTTGCAATTTTTTTTTCTCTGACTGCAAAATTTCAAAATATGCACACGTAATTTGCTTCAGATCGGTAGAACATATCTCTCGTGCTCGCAATAATAGCTCTGCCAAAATTTAGTTCGTCATCGGTCAAGAAGTGACCGTTGATGTCGGCGTTTCCAAAAGGTGTCTCTATGTTGCTATGTTCCTTCGATAACGGAATTCCGCGACTGGATAAAACAATACCGCACTGAACAAAGCTCATAAGTGTTCATGTAAATTCATTAATATCCATCGTTTTTGTATCTCTGCTACGTAATTAAAACAGTGCGCATGCAATGTAAAGATACGATATCGTGCGAGATATTTGCGGAAATGAATCTATCGTGCAAAAATTTCGAGAATGATTAACGCGCAAGCTTTACTGGTTCGCACAGTTTCGGAATTCAGCTATCAGCGCGAAAACAACTTAGAGCTTAGAAGTGAGACTTCTTGCGCGAACTCGCGAGACGATTCGTGCATATCGGCAAGTTTCAAAACGTGCCGAGCGAGCCAATCGCTTCGCCGAACAATAGTCGATGGACCAGCGGCGGTGGTAACGGCAACGGCGGCGGTGACGGCGGCGGCTAGTAACACCTACGCTCAAGGGGTGGCAGCGGTGTAGCAGTACGGCGCGGCGCCCGAATCTACCCCATAGTCAGTCCGAAGGTCGCCGCGTAAGCTCGCGGGCGAGCGCGACGTTTGCGTTAGCTGTGCGCTGTCGCCATTGCCGCCGACGTTTTATATATTACGTCTAACGTGATTGTACGCTTCGCACATACGTATATCTATACGCGTATGTACGTGTATATGTGTAATAATCGCGACGCAACATAGAAGGAGAGAAGGAGAGAGAGGGAGAGGAGGGAAGAGAGAGAGAGAGAGAAAGAGAGAGAGAGAGAAAGAGAGAGAGAGAGAGCGCTAGTTTACCCACGCGTCTGGACGTCTATTTCGTTGTTCACGCATCGTCGTAAATCGCGGAAGTGGTATTCGTTTCGGTTTCGCGAGGGAGATTTAGGTACGTCGGAAGGAGCAAAACGCAACGGAGCACAGCGAAGCGGCGAGCCGCCGAGTTGCCGAGCGACGGAGTAACGACGTCTATCTACTCTCGGTAAGTCTCTTGAACGTTCGCCAGAAACATTCGTCGCGAGTGACATAAGCGACGCGAGAGCCACTGTCTGCTGTCTATTGCCGAGCTCTCGCGAGATTCGGGATAGCTGACAGAAGATCCCAGGTTCGATTCATCTCACGTTGGCGAGTCTCGAACAGCAAAACGGCCTTTGCCTTCGCGATGATTGCCCGGGACTACTCTGGGATCTCAGCTGCTCCGGAAGCCAAATTGCACAATAATTTCGTGTGTATGTGTGTGTTTGTGCATGTGTGTGTATATGCGTGCAGCCGCTAGTATATAATATTTCCCGATAATATTCGCGGGAATATATGCCGCGTCACATTAATCACTACGGCGATATAATTAGCGCCAGCGAAACTATTGACCGTGCGACGGTGGTTGTTCCGGGCGCACGTTCCTCCGCCGAAAAGTCGCTCGTGCAAATTCCGAACGAACAGCAGAATTACCTCGGAAGAATTAAACACGTCGAGGACAATAGAGTTAAATATCCGTTGGCGTGATAAGACAAAGGACTGTTATTGACAAAGTGAATTTTTCATTTCTATCTCTTGTCACCATAATGCATTGTAATCACTGTTTTCATTCGACAACTGTAGTCACGAAATATCAATGCTGATAAAACTATTTTTTACTAACGTCGATTGGATATCTGATATTCTTTAGCGCCGCTTTTCCTTTTTGTACTTTCTAAATTTTTTGGAGTAAAATTCCATTAAAAAATTAGAGTGACTACCAAGTTTCTCGAATTTGACTCTTATATAGAATAAATTCTCTACTCTGAATTGTTAAACGAATATTTTCATTCGAAATTGAAGAGTAAATCTGATGTACTCCACCATCGCAGGAACATATTCAAATCGATTAAAACATTCACTCATATGAAGTCAGAATCTCCTCTAAGCTTGAATGATATATTCATTCTTGCGATTTCAAGTGTCAGTATATTTTCATTTTTACTTTAAAAATATTATTTTTTACTCGTTTTGAGTGAAATATTACTTTCAACTCATTTTCATTCTGTTCTAAGAAATTCAGAAGATAAATCGCAATATATAATATAACGCACACGGAGAAAAAAATTTGTATTAACGTGAAGTTTTAACGAGTGAACCAAAGTGTTTTTAGTCGAAGGACACAGAATTTCTGTAATTCATATAACCAAAATTTTGGTCTGAGAACCAGAAATTCTGTTTCTTTCAAGTCAAATGTGTTCGTTCGTTACAATCAAATTTTGTTTTTCCCATGCAGGATTATCCGAACAACGCGCATGTCTACTATATTTTTATCGATTGTCTCGATGTATTCAATTTGATGTTCAATCGAACGGTACAAATGTATAAAATTGAGATTTCTTGCAATCACATAGTTATAATCTCCGCCGTGAGTGAGCATTTGTTTGCCTTCTTCTCCGATCAGTCGTCCTTTTATTTCTATCAATCTGCGTCGATGACGCGCGAAGGATTCTTCGACGAAGGGTTGTTTACGATTAACGCGCTGATCTGTAATATCTCGTTGACAAATCGATTGCGGTCACGTGAGGACGCGTACGGAAAACGTAAAAGAGAGAAAGGACATGCGAAAAACTCGTCTGAAGAACGCTTTTTTTTCTCGTTTTGGCAACGCGCTTTCATGATGTGCACTAACACTCGTGATCGCACTCTGCTTTCGTGCTTGAACAAGTGAATAATTCCTTCCCGTAAAAAATGTCTGTAATTTTCTCATAACTAAGAAAAAAATAATAAATATTCTCATGAGGGTAGATCCTCAGACACATGAAACTTTCTCCCTTCCTTTCTATTCTAGAAATAGACGACGAGAAAGAAAATCAGCCAGGATGGATGTTGTTCGTTCCGTTATCGAGGATTTATTTTGATTAACGTTATGTATGTTATGAATAGTATTATGAGAGTATTTTTTTTTTATGCACGATTTATAAATATTGGGTTAACCTTCCAGTAGAGTTGACGAGTATATGAAAGATGCTGAACGACTTTATTTTAATACTGTACAAAGCAGGGCTTATGGTCATACGCGCTATATTTTTGTTATCTTTTTATAAAAAAAAAGCTATTTAAAATTGTAAAAACGTTCTGATGTTTTGAAGACAAACTAAAGGTTGTTTCTTAAAAATGTGATATTTTTCTTTTAATTAATAAAATATTTAATGAAATTTATATTTATTTTTTTATTCTACAAATACCTGTGACTGACGGAATGTTAAAGTCTTTTATCTTTGGAATCCGAGAAAATGAACTATATTTACAAAATTTTTTCTGGAAAAACTTGGCAATGTATTGATTTGTAATTTTATATGTTCGTTGTGTAAGTATAAAACAATATTAAAAATATAATGGTTTCTCGGAAATGTACCTAAAACTTTAAATGTGTTTTTTTTCGAAAGCATATCTTCAAATTAGGCGTGCAAGATTTCTCGAAAACTATTATGTAAATCAATAAACTGATTTCAAACTTTCCACATATGTTTCGAAAGCATACATCTCGGATTTCCTGAACTTCTCAAACTTGAAATGTGTCATTTGGTAAAGAAATTTTATTTTGTATGAATTTCTTGTGGTTCTATTGAAGAGTAAATAAAGTAACAGTAAACAAAAATCAAAACAAATAGTCTCGCGGATATATGAATTTCAACGAATGATGAATTTTCGCGTGAACGCTAAACGCGCGACGAATGCAGAAATAAGCAGGATACGCAGCCTCGAGGGCGGTTTACTTTATTGCAAAGTAAACAGCGTTGCTCGCGCAAATAGCTCGGGGTATTTTTTAATGGAAATTGTAATTACTAAACCGCTTGTGAACTTAAAAGTTGAAAGACTTACTCTCGAGTATTATACGATGCTAATTTGCCTTTTGACAGGAGCATCTCTGGGGAGTTTCTGAAAGATCTCACCCAAAATTTGGAAAACCTGTCCCCGTGGGTTTAAGCGATCAAGTAAAAACACGAGTCGCTCGTTACCGGGAATTTCAATTGAGCAATGTGAATTGCCGTATAACTGCAGAAAATACAAAAAGTGGGTTAGTGATGAAACATCGGCTAAAAGCCTGGAGAATAAAGTTCGTGTCTATAACGAGTCAGCGCCAGGAAAATATAGCACACTGTATGAATTATGAACGAATATTTATTCCCCTTTCTCTCTTTCCATGTCACTTGTATTTTATCGAAGATTCGCGACAAAAAGAATCGCACAATCGTAACGCGCTTTGATATTATCTAAAATTAAATTAGGGCAATATAAGAGTTCTAACACAGGTGATATAATGCGATAAAAAAACTAATAAAAATATTAGTTCTCCATGTGATGTGGGAGAAATTTTATTTATTCAAAATAGCATGATTAAATGTCGCCAAATTTAATTTCTGATTTTTATCTAAGGAGTTTCTTTTTTAATCATTTTGATATTATCTGTATTTCTTACGAATATGATTAATTCGTGACATTACGTCGGCAGCTCACTCTTGCGTTTACATCGGCATAAATGTCACAATTATCGTTCATGTGTTTTTTCCTGGGATGTAGTAGGACTTAGTAGGTACTAGAATCGATTAGTTCCTCCGAGCAGCTTATATTAATACGCGCGACCGGGAGTCAGCTACATTCTTTATTGCTAACGAATGGTTCATTCACAGATTCATTCGGCATACCTTGTAGGCTGTCCACGATAAGTCTCCTAAGCGTGGATTATCCGATTTAAAGGACCGGTAAATCCGCGATGAGCAGTCTCACCGCGTGTAATCGTATTTGTGGTTTTACAAGATTGTATTGTATCTCGGATTACGGCGGAGTGGGATGTCCTGGTAATCGAGCCGGCATTGGTATAAATCGGGGACAGGATATATGTATATCCAGACGATACTGTTCGAGTTTGATTCTACGGAATAAGCATCCATCCGACGCGTTTGCGGAAGCGTGTTCGTTTTTCGAAAATGTATGCATGGAATTATATATATGTTTCGAAAACTATTAATGTGCCTTTTCCCCAAGAAAATGCACGCGTGAACGCGCATTAATAATGCACTGTATATATATATATATATATATATATATATATATATATATATATATATATATATATATATCTGCTCAATTGCCGTGCTCGTATGCAGTACTTAAATTAGGCCGTAAAGAGTCGATTAATTACTTTTGTTTATTCCGTGCATTATGCAACTATACAGTATAACTCTTGATAATTATAGATAACATGGTAAAATTTATAAAACGCTTGATTCGATATTTTTAATCTCAGTACTTACTGCTTACGAAGGAACGAAGGTCTATCGATCGATATACGGAGTATTTACAAAACGCTACGTATCGTAGAATGATATGCAGGAAAAAGTACATGCAAAAAAATATATACATTATTTGCTTTAAATCTTTCATAAGTTTATATATCCGCAAGTCTGTCATAAGTTTGTCATAAGTTTATTTACTTAAAAGTTCATCAAACTTGTTCAAAATACTTTGAATCTTAGTAAGATACAAGTAGCAATTCCTAGACACTAAAAAAACATTGATACCTAACTAGTACAGGAATGGTGGACACGGATATTTAAACTTTCTATACACATACACATATAAGCGTGCATATGCACGACACACATACACACATTCTACATTAAAAGTTTAAATCTTTGTATTTAAAAATGAAAACAATAAGAATGTTCATAATTAGGTATTATTAGTATTCCGGCATTGGTATTTTCATCGTAATATAAATATAATATTTTAATAAAAAAAGGCCAATGAAAATTAATTGCAATTGATGATACTAATATTTAAGCTATAAGAGGATAATTACCAAATAAAGAGCAACATTGTAGATAATAAAAAAGAATAAATTAAGTAGGGATGAAGTAGGGAGAGTATTTATGTATAATTAATTAAGTAGGGATGAGGTAGTGAGATTAATTAATGATAATAATTTGGGGTATAAAAAATCAATTTGATGTGGAATTAATCATATACATCATAAGTTTAGAAAAATATGTGTGCATTTGACATGGTCAAACATTATTATCTCTTTACTTAATATTCGCACCAACAACTACGATTGACTCTCATTGGTCTTTCTCTGTTTCACTTAGTATACATAAAAGCCTTGTTTATATATTTTATTCCAATCAAGAATATCAAATTAAAAATTCGATTTGCTTATTACTTAGAATCGATTCAACTTTTCTTCGATAAAATTTTATAATATTCTTATAAAGAGAATAAATTCTTCTTTTGAGTACATAATAATGAACTCTTCTGAAATTTATGATGAGTATATTTGAAGAGTATTCCTTTTAATGAAAATATTCCCTTTAATGGAAATAACCATTATCTAAAACAGGGCTCGGCTCATTTTACCCTTTTCGGCCGATTCTCGGGAGCTACGCCTTTTATCTCTCCCTTGCCGCGCGGCAGGCCATGCAAGTGACGGTCGCAGCCAGTCGCAATTCCAAGCTTATAGGCACGACCGTCACTTTTTAGGCCCGCCGCGCGACAAGGAGGAGATAGAAGGCGTAGCTCCCGAGAATCGGCCGAAAAGGGCAAAATGTGCCCAGTCCTGAAAAGAAGAAACTGAATAATCGCTTTTCTTAGCAGTAGAATGATATTATTCTGTGAGTATAGATTTATCTATTTGAGATTTTTCCGCGAACGTGTCGAGTTGCGCGAGGATACAATTGTATGTATGTTTAATGAGTTCGCGCAACATTCGTCGTGTCGTATCTTTTGCTTTCTCCACGTGTTTCTCCAGCGTATATATGTATGTGTGTTTTGTTGTATAAATTTTGTTGTATAAATTTACGCGATTACGCTCGACGAAGATTTCCGAAGAGCTTCTGGGTTGAAGAGGGTTTTTACTCCTGAAGGGAAGATTCGTACGTATTGCTCTTCAAATTATTCTCAGGGAATTACAGGAACGTCGGGTTGGCAGCGCCGGCGAACTGGATACGCCGCTCATTTGGAGCACGTGAACTTTTGACCTCCTCCTCCCTGTTGCATCATTAAGCCGTGCGTGTGACTCGCGAAACTATTACTGCTCGCGCTCTTCACTTTTTCACAATACATGCATACTGGAAATTGTGATATCTTGTTTATCTTCCGGCGAATTCGAAAAGTAAGCTTAAAGAAATTTGAAAAATGTGTGACGTCAAAGATCAAACTCTACGACTGTAAGCTTGCACTCGTTTGATCGCAGTCAATGGTGATACGCAAGGCGAATAGTCATATTTAGCGTTAATTACTAAGAATCTGGGAATCTGGTCAGAAACATTATTTGGAAAATACGATGCAACGAAATAACGAAATCGCCTTGACTTCGGATAAACGACGTTTCGCGGTTTACCTCGATCGAATCGATTGGCCCCGTTCGTCACAGGATCGATCGTTAATTCCACTCCGACTAACCGTTCTAAAAATAATTTATTGACTCCGTTTTATTAGAACGCACGCTGACTGTGTCGCTTGTCTCTTTTATATGCTGAGGTCCTTTCCCCCGTTCATCGAACTTTGCCTGATCGATCATCGGAATATTTGATGCGTGTCAACTAAATGCGTCGCGAAAAGATAGGTACACTATATATCGTAACAAGATAAAGAGATATTTTTTTCCTTCTAATATGATAAAAAGTGTTGAAAGCTAATCGTTGAAAACTAAGTCTGAAATCTTCATACTTGAAAAATCTTGTTCATCTGTATGGGTTCTGCGCTCCTAGCAACTAGTAAAAGGACTTGACTAAAATGAAAGATCATAATGTTCCATTGACATAATCCTCTAGGTCGACAATGTTCACTTCTTGAATACACTCCTTGAAATATTCAAAAACATTTACATGAGAAAACAATATAGCTGGCTCACACATAAATCTGATTGTGCCAACTAGATTTAATAGTAAAATACAAAATAACTAATTATGTAGTTGCTGCAACCACAGAAAAATTGCTAAATTACTAGTGTTGTAGCAGTGATGATATCTGGTTACTCCAACTAGCGTCTATCCATAGTAAATGTCATTCTAATTGATTTTTGGTTGCCACAACCAGATCACGCGCAACTACATTAATGTAATTGATGTTCCTAAAGTAACTCAATCATATCAATCATATATATTACTATCAAGGATAACTGTGATGCAATCATGCTCACAACTAAATATTTCTGGTTATGTGCACCATATCTTTTTGTACTAAATGACACTAGTCTTACTAAATTTATATACTAAATGATTTTGTGTATTAAATGACTTTTTTATTCGATTTTTTAACGTCTAGATCACTTTCTCATTGTGATGGTGACAATGGGTAATAAACAATTTTGAAATACGAACTTGAAGTGCGAACATTGCATCATATATATCTTATCAATATAATTAAAAGTTCTGTTTACAGTCGTAAACAGAAAGGTTGTCCATAATTCATAGGGTTTATAAAGTGAAATTAAATTATAAGTTGAAGTTTATAAACTCATCTGTTTTGTCCAGTGCACAAAAAAAAATTAGTCAAAGGAGCTAAAATATAGTTCTGGCAGGTAAAATGTTTCTTTGAAATAGAGACGGTTAATGTCGTTGTTATCAAACCTCAATTTATTAGCTCTTTGAGCACTGTACTTATGCACTGTAGCAGAAAATATTCGTTGCTAGATACACATAATAATAATAAAATTATATTCCTATTTCTAAGAATTTTATTATTTTTTTAAATAAAATATTCCTTAAAGTATGGCAGAGTATGATTATTTCGCATGAAGTTAGCTACCTAACTGATTCGATCTAAAGATTCACGCGCGTAAGATATTTAGGAATAGCTGCTATTTTCTTAGCTCCTCGAACATATGTGCGCTTCTAATTTTAGTTAATAAATTTCACAGCTAATGCATTCAGCCTGTAATAGTCAATTCTTAGCAATAGAAACAAAATGATTAGCCTGTTAGCTAAATCTAAATCACCTATTGAGCTGATATTACTAAGTTATTTCTAAGTTATGTGTGGAAAAATTCTCCCATTGAAAAATGTATTTTTCTATTGGACAAGAGAGAGTTCACGAATTCAAAAAAACTATATATCAAAGACTCTGAAGGTAAACTACTTAGTTAAGAGAAAGGTAAGATTTATAAGAGCCGTGTGTTGAATGTTAGTGCGAATGATTAATAAGTTAGAGTAGGAGAATAACAATATTTGATAGTGTTAAACACACACGCCGAGTTGTCTTGCAACGTACGTGGTGAACTAAATTTTCCATGTTAAACTAACTCAATAAGTCTCAATTATTATTGTTTAATTAATTTTTTCCTTAAAATTCTTAATTCAAAATTGTGTGTATTTTTTATTTCTATTTAAAGTTGCAAAAAATACTGCTTCAGCCAGGAGTTGAACTTGGACCTCGTTATTTGCCGGGCGGGATGCTGTACCAATTCGGCCACCAAGGCCACATTCGATAGAATTTCTCGCAATTGAAATGCTTGGATTGAAGTGTACTAAACGCTTTCTACCGCTAGCGTATCAAAAAACTAAACTATATATAAAAAGTTCCGAAGGTAAATATTTAATCTAACTTATTTACTTTAACATCCAGCGCACAAATTTTATAGGTCTTATCTTTTTCTTAATTAGATATTTATCTAAGAAATTACGGACAATCATTCTGTTCACAAATGTACACAATCTGGCACAATAGCCTCAACATTTACTAGGCCTAATTCCAAATGAATTTCTCGATTACGTACAATGTATCTACATATTCATACATTATAACTGTTGATTATTTCGAGGAAGCGGTTCCGCCCGAATAATTAACAGTCCTAATAGACGAATATGTGCTTACATTACGCGTAACCGCGAAATTCGTTTGGAATTAGGCCTAGTAAACATTAAAGTTATTATGCCAGATAGTGTACTTATGTGATTTCCGACTTTATGCATATATTAGATTTGGTTTCCGAATTTAAGCCGCGTGAATTCTTCTTTGTCTGATTTCGACATTTCGCGAACATTTCAGTTTGCTTCATCAGGGAGGAACGATCCGATGCCGAGTTGATCCTGAGAGATCTTCCTTTATATAGTGATTAACATAGGGGAAGGACAGGAAGCAAGGAGGTGGAGGATAGTGGAAACTTTGTTAGTCTACCAGGGACCCAATTCTCGACAATGTGCGAATGAGATGATCTGTAACATGAGAAAATCTGGGTAGGGGAGAGGCAGGTTCGTAAATCGTTTCGTTCATGTACTTATTGTGAAACAAACAGTTCGAGTAGAATCATAAAACATTTCGTTTAATATAAAGGTACTTACCTCTAATTTTCATTACTATTGGACAAATATTAAGCTAAAAGCTTAAATTATTTAGCTAAAAGAAAGAAAAAACTGATTTGAGGGCAGTCGAGTAAAATTTTAGACGTCTCGAAATTTTCTCACATTTTCTATCGTGAATGAATAAACTGAAGTTATGTAATATTAGTTAGAATGAAGTTTATTACAGATATATACACTGTTTTGTATAATAATAATGAACTTTATTCTTAAAATTATTAAAATTGCAGAAATGAGCAGATGGGATAGGTTCGCTAATTTTTCTCTATGATAGTACTGATGAACTTTCTTTATCTTTATGTTTATGTGTACACGTTGATTTTCTTTATAATATATTGATACTTATTTCATATTTTTATGTTTATTGTACACATATGAAATATGTTATATTATTACAATTATTGCAATTATGTCCCTTTGTTTTAAAATTTAAATACAATTTTAAGCATAAAGATATTGAATATGGTATCTCATTATATAATTTCTTGGTTTAACACTCTTTAAAGTGCACAGTTACATATATTTTATATAATGCTGACCCCGAGCTGCTAGTGTACCTGCCCTGGTACCGGAACAGGCTTTCATGCTGCGTGTTGATATTTTTATTATTACAGACGAAACTATACAGTTTATAGCATCGTCGATAGGATCAAATGTTGGGAGGATCAAATGTTGTCTCTATCATTGTTACATAGCCAATTGAAACAATTAAATGTTTCAAACTGTTTTATTACTGAAATTCCAAAAAATTAGCGAACCTGCTCCGGTCTTCCCTAAACGTGACGTGAAATATAGGATTTTTGCATGCGCATTCGACATTGTCGAGAATTGGGTCCCAGGTTCTGAAAAAATTTGATTCTGGAAACGTATTTATATAATTATTTCTTTATGTGATTATAGTTATAAATATCAAACATTTTTTCTCACTGTATACTCCTATCTGTGTCTTATATGTTTGCTAGAAATTTCTTCTCACTGTATACTCCTATCTGTATGTCTTATATGTTTGCAAAGGTATAATAAAAGGCTAATATTTACTCCGTATATTGCCCTTTCAGTTCCTGTCATGACCAATTACTACGCAAGCCCATGAACAGTGGCTCGCAATCGGGATTATTTTATGTGATGCCAATTTTACTTCAGAAAATGTGTGAAAACCAAGTATAAATGAGTGTATAAACGAGTATATTGTATAAACGAGTGTATTGGTCTATTATCTATTTGTTACTAATTTCGACGGCTTTTTTAACAACAGATATCAGATTTTCAACATTCTATAATTACTTTGTTGACTAATATGCATTACTAGTTGCGAAGGACTAGCCAAAATGGCTAAGGTTTTTGAAGATTCTAGAGGATATTCCCGAGCAGAAATTGAATCTAGTGATTGTCTAGTAATGACACAGAAAAGTTGGATTTTACATGGTTAATAGCTAGGAACGTAACGCTCACTTCTCCTAATGGCTGTACCAGAAAAATTATTTAATAGCTAGATATAAAAAAATAACTTGTAACTATAATTGGTATAAGTACTAGACAGTTCTAATATCTAATTTCTACTCAGGATTTACCGATGATTTTCTATCTCGTTACTATGTAATCTTTTTCATCTAGCCACTATCTATGTAATTGGTATAGTTACTAGATAGTCCTGACATTCCAAAATACCAGTAGCCAGTCACGAGCTAGTGATTGGCTAAAAGTTATCTAGTCATTACTATCTAGCTACTAATCTTGAAATCTGCTCTACTAGATACATTTTTGCTTGGGTCTTTATATCTTTCAGTTATCAACGATCAGAAAGACACGCACGATTAGTAGTGATTGTTATTACTTACAAATGTTTTGTAGGTTCTTTCAGAACCGTTTTTCGTCTTCTCAATTTATCACGATCGTTGCACTTGCAACTTTGAGCATTTGGCCGAGGTTCAAGTGACCGACATCATGTGGCCCGCGTACCGTAACCCACATATACGTTAATATTTCTTTCCCGCTTTCGGAAAGCTCTTCCCAGACTGTAGAATGATGCCAACAATGATGGCGGAATTTTAAACGGTTTGAAAAGTTCAACTCTGTATTTCGGCCGCGTATATTGATTTCTGCAGTAACTGCAAATTAAGCACTGCTTTATTACTGTAAAATTTCTCATCGTATTTTATTCACATCAGTTTTATGCCATCACGGCTTATTGTATTATTTATTTAGCTGACATGTATGTATTGTTAGCACGATCAGTGTATCGTAATTATCTCATATAATTATGTTTTTAACACGATGGTACAATTATAATTTACTTTTATTCACTCACAGTTATTTTCTTTTCTTTTACGCATTAAAAAAGTAATAAAGTGAAATGATATATATTCTTCGGCATTTTTAACCACTATAATGTTTAATTGCTCCACTGTATTCGAGCATCACATAGATTATTTGACAGCAAAGTTTGGATAATTCGTAGCTGGCTGTTCTCCAATATGCATCGGCCTGCTCAATGTCGCACGATGCACTTTGTTATATATATAACCACGCGGAAATCTAGCTAGTGCAATATAGGCCAATGGCGAGCGTAGAAGTGTTTGGCATATCACATAGCTGTGTACTAGTATATTTATAAATATCAAGCAGATATTTTTGCGTCCCACAAAATAAAAATAACTTGCAAAAAATATTAAAAAGCAATATCATCTCGAACGATATTGTTATTTAGAGGACCAACATTGAGTACATTCCTCATACTTTTTACAGTTATCTCTAAACGATCCGTGTTGCATCGCAATTTTCTCACGAAACAATTGGAATAGTGGTTTTTGAAAGAGTTTTCTGTTCATTTCCTTATACAATTAGATACTTAAAAGCGTCTCTGTCTAGGATCTCTAATTTCACTAGCAGAGAACGAACTTAGTCAATTAATGGAAATCGAATCAATAGGACCGAGGCCGAGAGGGCAGGAATTAAATTCCTCTGTGCTCCCATTTCAATCGATGTGTTGATTTGCCTTGGAAATATTGACGGACGAGGCGTAGGCAAGAAAAGAGATGGATTCTCGTTGGATCAATAAAATCGAAAAAATCTTTGGATCAGGAAATAGCGGAATGAATGATCTATGGTGAGTACAGGTGAGCGCATTGATTAACACGCGGGATTATTTAGTAACATATCATAGGCAAGCTTGGATTGAATTTACTTGTTTCGAGAAAATTTCAACTTTTACATTTGGAAACTTGCACACAGAAAAATATCGTTCTATTACTAGGAAAAACGATTACTCAGTTTCCTTTCCTTCTTGTAAGTAATGATTATCTTGAACAAGAAATATTTTCTTAATAATAATTTTAAAATGTACGTATCATAAATTTGAGAACAATATTATAATGTATTCAAAAGAATTTACTCTCTTTATATGAATATTTCGACTCTATACAGAATGAGTCAGTAACTATTGTCACTTGAAATATCGGTAATTGTTTACATTAGAGAAACCACCTCAGATGAACTCCTTCTTGCACTAAGGGAAATGTCTGATGATACTAGTCAGAATGCTATTTAGGTTTACCAAACGGTATGGTGAATAATCGTGTAACAAGATATTTAGTCAATAATACCAAACTATGGTGAGCGCATTGTATAAATAGCATTACAGTGATGCTTAAATACGTTTACCAAAGTACAGCATACAATTCATTTGGTGAATGTTATGAGTATGGTTACGGAGTAGTGTTAGACTTCTTACCAAAAAAATTGTCTGGTGCGAACCATTGCCTATTTAGTAAACTCCTTTATACAGTATAGTATATATGACCTGTTAGATTCTAAATTTTAACTATATATTTTGAATCAGCGATTCATTAGAGTAAGAATATATTAATTATACAATTTAAGCAAAAAAGTGGGATCGTAAAATTTAATTGGGAAGAAATAGAGAAACGGTAATATATGTCTGAAAATTTTTCAAAATTTATTGCTAATACTACAAATTATTAAAAAAGGACAGGCAATTATTAAAAGGTGTTTCTGTTGCATTTATTATATATTATATTTCATAATAATATAATCAAATATAACAAATAAGCTAATAAGTACATATTTTTTAAATGGTTTTTAGAATTAATAGTAAACAATATGAAAAGCACAGTAATAAATAATATGAACAGTATGAATAGCATAAAAAATTAGTTAAATAATTATCAGTAAACTGTCATCGTCTTTATCATTTTCTTTTAATTAAATTTAAGGATACTACTTTTTACTCATTTTATAGACTAAACATAAAGTATAGAATATTTAAAAAAAAATTAAATTTCATTATTTTATTAAGAAGCTGCATCCTTAGTATAAATATCATTTGGTACAAAATTAAATCATACAAAAATGACTAACAGAAATTTTGAAATTATCTTTAAGGATATCAATAATTTTTCTTTCTCACATTGTACAAAAATGACTAACAGAAATTTTGAAATTATCTTTAAGGATATCAATAATTTTTCTTTTACACATTGTACAAAAATTATCTTTAAGGATATCAATAATTTTTCTTTCTCACATTGTACAAAAATGACTAACAGAAATTTTGAAATTATCTTTAAGGATATCAATAATTTTTCTTTTGGTCGAAAACAAAACTTGTGTATTTTAAAATATTTTATTTCAGAAGAAAAATAGTTTGTGTATACAAAAGATAAGAAATTTTACAAGGTTTTTATAAAAAATAAAGTTTATAGTCAACAGTTTAAAAATTTTTCGAATTCTTTGTACTATCTGGACAAAAAACAGATTAAAATTAAAATAAGCAAAATAGCAAACAATGCAAAGAAATCGTATATAGTAAAGTAAAACATATTTACGTAAGAAAACATTTTATCTGTAATGTGATGCAGATCGTTTCCAACAAGAATTACAAATGGTTGTACAGTATTTTTTTCTTTTGCAGCCTTGGTTTCAATAATATTCACTTCATCTTCTTTAGCATCAGTAGTCTGAATAAATAAAAGAGAAAGAAAAAAATTATTACAACCTCAATGTATAGTTAATTTATACATTCAAAAGAAACTGTCTCTTCATTTAATTACAGAAAAAAGTTGAGAGTTATAAAACGTTACATACAATTAAAAATAAAATTTTTCTAGAACGTAATTGAACAAACCTATCTTCATACACAAAATTATAAAAAAAATTGATTTTCTCACCTTTACGTGACATATGAAGCTGTGTAGCATTTTTTGTTTGTTTACTCTCCATCCTTTAGTTATATGAACATTGTTATAACCAATTGCATTAAAAACAAAACTTAAGAGCACATATCTCAGCATCACTGAGAGCTGAAACATAAATAGAATATTTAAAAAAAAATTAAATTTCATTATTTTATTAAGAAGCTGCATCCCCTTAGTATAAATATCATTTGGTACAAAATTAAATCATACAAAAATGACTAACAGAAATTTTGAAATTACACTTATTTTCTTCTATTCCAGTAATAAATCTTAAACGATGAGAGAAAAATTCCCATTCAGTAAAAAGTGATTTAGTTTTGCTCGGATAGAAAGCATCAAAATCTAGCTTAACAGAGCTAAAAAGCTGCAACAGAATGGTAAATTAAAAATTAAAAATAGAATATTGAAATGAAAAACGCAGTAATTAATATTTACTAAAGCACTCTAAAAAATAAGACGCAATAGTATTTAAAGACTTTTTTCTGTCACCTCTAATTTTTAAAAAATGTTTCTTCATTTGAGCTGTTTTGCAAATTATGTATACGCAATCGATATGTGGCTTTCCATTCAAGAGGACCTTGTTGCATAGCTCTACTCTTTTTAAGAACCACTTTAAAGAAGCTTGATCATTTGGTACAAAATGAAATCATACAAAAATGACTAACAGAAATTTTGAAATTACTCTTATTTTCTTATATTCCAGTAATAGATCTTAAACGCTGAGAGAAAAATTCCCATTCAATAAAAAGTGATTTAGTTTTCCTCGGATAGAAAGCATTAAAATCTAGCTCAACAGAACTAAAAACCTGCAACAGAGTGGTAAATTAAAAATAAAACAATGAAATGAAAAGCGCAATAATTAGTACTTACTAAAGCAACTCCTGGTTGTTTAAGAAAAGGAAACTCTAAAAAATAAGACGCTAAAGAAATCTCTTATGAAATAATCAAATATGACATGAACCAGGAACACAAAATAGAAAACATATGGCTTGCGGTATTTAAAAATTAACATTTTAACAAAGATTAAAACCTGAAATCGTCAAAAGTGTGAACTTACTATCTGATGCAGAAATAGAATTTTGTATGTTATAACTTTTGATTTTGGAGTTTTCTCGTAGTCCTCCTCTCAACAGTCCTTTCATTAAATTTGTATACTGATTATATAATTTTGGAGCAATCTTTTTGAAAACCTTGTTATTAATTTTAATCGACTTGTATGAAATATAGTATACTTCCTGAAATTCATAGGTAAAATAATACAATTTCTTATATTGTATAGATATAAATGTATAAAAGAAATTAATAACCTTTGTTTCAGCTGGAAAATATTCGACAATATCTTCTGCTAACTGTATAAAATGAGAATCCTGATGAAGCAAAGAACTTTTAATAAATAATAGCATCCACATATTAGCAACATTAAAAAGTTGAAGAATTTTTAAGTCATAGAAAGTGAAAGATTTATAGCAAATATTATAGTTAAGTAATAGAAAATTTTAAATAAAATGAAAGAGAAAATCAAGCTTGTCATTAATTATAACAAAATAAATTATAATATTTTAGTTTATGATATGCTAGTATTAATAATTTCACTAAGAAAATATAAAATATACGATAAAATGTTTAAATTGATTCAAACTTTTTGCATTCAACATTAAAATATTTACGTGCTAGAAGCATTGCCATTCAACTCATCATTCACCAAAAAAGAACAATTGGTAAATTTTTAGAATAACGGACCCAGCAGCTATGACCTTGACCTTCATATATATGTTAGAGGTCACCCTCCTGAGTAACTTTCAGAAGGTTTTAGCCGTCGCTCATTGTTTGTTAAAAAGTTATTGATGAAAAAAGTTCGAAAAATATATTACAATTTTTCGATACTGTACCGTTAACGAGCAATATCGAATAATAACTACAATATCGAACGACTAGCGGAGGACTACGCTTTTCGGACCCCCTCTCAAAACTAACCTAATCCAACCTATCGTCACATTAACACAAAAGTTGAACACTTTAATAAACAATGACTGACGATTAATGTGACGATAGGTTGGGATATTTGGAAGAATGTAATTTCATAAAATTTGTCGATGAATTCAGAAATAAGTATATGAAGATTATATACAGTAAGTGTATATATATATATATATATATATATAACAATGACTGACAATTAATGTGTCGATAGGTTGGGTAACCTATCGCCTAACCTAAAATCTAGCTTTATTATATATATATATATATATATATATATATATATATATATATATAATTTTTATATACTTACTGTATATAATCTTCATATACTTATTTCTGAATTCATCGACAAATTTTATGAAATTACATTCTTCCAAATATCTGACGGTTTCAGCGTCCATTCTTTTATAGCACCGACGTCTTTACAAATTAATATAAATGAAAAAGAAAACGTCGCAGTGAATAACAATTAACTATCGAGTCAATAGTACCACACGTCTAGAAAGAATTACCAAACTGCCTACAACTAAATGTCTCGGTATCGACTATTAGATGCGTCGAAGCATCGTAATCAGAATATTGGATATGTGAACCAGATATTGCATATAAATTTACCATATTACTTTCATAAGACGAATATAGTGTCATTTACCAAGTCATTTCTCTCAATGTACAAATGCGGATATTGCTTGTGATATTTTTTGCATATAATGTAAATCGAAAGATCTCAAACAGTACTTGTATTTATATTCTTATATTGTTTTTTATTGACAAATTATGTATAAAAATGTAAAGGTTGGGTTGCGTACGCTGAGAGAAATGGCTTGGTGAATGACATTATACTCGTCTTATGAAAGTAATATCGTGAATTTATATGCGATATTTCATTTACATATCCAATATTCTGATTACGATACCTCGATGTATTTAATAGTCAATACCGAGACATTTAGTTGTAGACATCTAGACAGTTTGGTAATTTTCTCTAGACGTATGATACTATTGACACGATAGTTAATTGTTACTCGCTGTGACGTTTCCTTTTTCATCTATACTAATTTGTAAAGACGTCGGTACTATAAAAGAGTAAACGCTGAAACCGTCAAATATTTGGAAGAATGAAATTTCTTAAAATATGTCGACGAATTTAGAAGTAAATATATGAAGATTATATACAGTGAAAATGATATATAAATAAAAATTATATATAATATGGTTAAATTTTAGGTTAGGTAAGAAGTCTAACACTACTATATAACTGTATTCATAACATTCACCAAATGAATTGTATGCTGTACCAGACGGTTTGGTAAACGTATTTAAGCATTATTGTAATGCTACTTAGATAATGCGCTCACCAGATGGTTTAACTAAATATTTTGTTACACGATTATTCACCATACCGTTTATCTAAATAGAAGGGTCAGTATCGTCAGATATTTCCGTCAATGTATATACGTGTACAGTTTACCATATTCCCATATACACTGTATGCAAAAATTACGTTTTATTTATAAAAAAAGATTTTAATAACTTTTTAACAAACCGTACATGATGGGAGGTTAGGATTAGTTTTTCGGGAAAGGAGTGAGGAGCCCTTCCCCCGCATATATATGTGTACTGTTTACATATTTCCATATACACTGTGTGTAAAAATTACGTTCTATTTATAAAAAAAATATTTTTTTAATAACTTTTTAATAAACAATGAACGACGCATGAAATCTTTTGAATGTTACTTAGAAATAATATCTTCATATCATAACATATATCAAGGAGGAGCTCATGGCAGGTAGTTTCCCTTATGTAAACAATTACCGTTATTTTTAGTTAGCGAGTAATATTTTCTTTTAATAGTTTACAAATATATTCATAAATTTTAGAAAAATTCATTATTTTATACTTACAAGAATAATTTATTCTTTTTGTAAGAATATTATGTAACTTTATCGAAGAGAATTGATTTAACTTTATGTAATAGGTACAGAGGAAAGTAGCTAAAAGCGACATAGGCCTCTTAGAGCGACATACCTCTATATCTCATATCTCATACCTCTATATCTCATATATTAAATGTGGTATTTTATAAAATCGAAACTAATATAAACGTAATTTGTTTTATCAGTTAAGTCATGAAAAATTCATACTTGGTATATTTCTTGTTCTTCTATATGCTAAATTAGCAAATATGGAGTTTTAGAAATTCGTAAGTTTTATTTCTATGATTTTTATTGACGAATTACGTAGACTAAACAGCGATAATTATCTTTTTGTTCAATATTAAATTCTTCTACATGTATTTGGCTTTTGTAAAAATATTTTTTGAATATATTTATCTTCATCACTTTTTTACTATATACCTTGAAAAATTTTATGAGAATGTGTCTTAAAGTGACATAACTACAGTATGCGATAGGTGCGATACTCTGACTAACATAACCTGTTTCTAACCTCTCATTGTGACGTGCATTTGTTTATTTTAAAGTTTAATTTTGTTTAGTTTAAAAATATAACAAATGTAAAATATATGAGAAATGAAAAAGATGGAAATGCCAAAGATATATTTTTATTTAATTATATTTCCCTTTTGTAACATTATATTTTGAATAAATGAATATTATTTAACCATTAAACGCATTAATGAACTATTTGTTATCAAATATTATCATATATGTAACATGTTATATAACTTCCAATAGGTATGTCGCTTTTGACACCCATTTTCTTTGAACAACTCCATTTTCGTGTGTTTTACGAAAACATTTTTTATGTTAAATCTAGAAACAATTTCATTATAAATATGATATTATCTGATCAGAGGGTACTTCTAACTACGTGCATATATATTTACATTTATATTTTGAACTTTACATTAAGACATAAATTCTAAAAACAAAGTGATATGTCGCTTTTGGTGCCTTTACTGAATTTTTGTTTTAATTTAAATTAATATTTTTTATTTAATTGCTAAACTTACTTGTTATTTCTTGCCTCCAACGTAATTATACAACATGACCGCGGCGAATATCCAAAAGTCTTAACAACGTCTGAAAGATAGTTTTATAATACGTTATTAATAGTTTTAAATACGTACTCTGTACAATGTTAGCGTGTAACGCGTTGCTCTCTTTTTATGAACGCTGAGATACGCTGGGATTGAGAAGAGAATGAAGATGGAGGTAGTTTTTTTAATAACTCATATATTTAATTATCGTACATCATTTTTGTTTCGACTATATGTAACAAGTAACATTTACTTGGATGCCTTTTCCTGTAGATATCTAGTCAGTAGAAGTTGATGCATTATAGGATTATCGCGATTTTTTTGTAATTCATGAAAGGTAATCTATATTATGCTACTAAGAAAATTGATGGATAACTGTTTTCACGAAAACATCCCAAAGTTTTCGAGACAAAGCAAAGTATGGAATCCCGTCGCGGAAAAGTGTGGAAAAAAATTTTACCCCAAGATTCTAGGCAGATTTGCAATTGAATGTTCGATATGCGTTTCTGAAAAATTCGAAAAGCCGACGTGCCTACTAGCGCCGTCACTAGTGTCGCTGGTTAAAGCCCGACAAACTTGTGAATTCAATCACGGTGGTATAACGCGACCTTGACGTAAGCGCCTGGATATTCGGGTCGGCCGCAAGCCGTTGCCCTTAGAAATCGACGTCGGCTTGGCGATCACCGATGGTTATTGGGTAGCTCGAGTTTTCTTGACAATCGATTGTTCTGACAATCTCTTTTGAATACAAGATACGTCATGATCGAGTAGAGCGTTTTTAAAAAAAGAATGATTCACGGCTTGATCTTCGTCGTGTTTGTGCTCGAATTCATAATATGTAAACATCGGTTTCACTCACCTCGTCATCATTATAACATGTTATACCTGCTATATCTCACATTATCTTCAGATAAACGGGCTCTTTAATGCGCAGTAGTGCAGTCCTAAAAGGACACAATTCTGTCTGATATATATCACCCAAACAAAAGTATTCTACGTACAAAATAAAGTTTCCTCTAACCCTGTTCTAAAAGAAATATCTTGCAGAAAGCATATTCATTTTTTATTAAAAGGAAACCACTCATTGTGCATTTATTTATTCTAGTTTTTAATTATTCTAATTGTGTTCCTCTATATCAAGAGGAATATGTTAATTTGAAGCACAATGCCGTCTTACGTACAGTACGAGAGACGCGAAGAACAGTTGTTTCGCTGCGTACTGTCGGATGCGTTCTTTTATTCGCAACAGATACAACCCGATGCATCCGGTGCATAATTTAATCGTTCTGTATATCCAGTTGCGCACATCAAGCTGCAGACTGCGTAAATCTTGACTGTTCTTTAATTTAAGTTGCAAGCAGAATCGTGCATCTTTTAGTATCCCAATCCAAGCGGCTGCCGAAAAATTGAAGCCTGAGTTCCGAATGTGCAGGAACCTTAAGTACGAATACGGTTTTTTGGTTTGCAGAAAGTAATGCGTTTCTCAGACAGCACACAATATTTATCATAAATATTTATTTCGAATTATTTCTTAAAAATATTATATAAATATAATATAAATATTTTATATATATGAAGGAAAAAGTATCAAAATCTTTATTGAAAATATTATTAAAATACAGACTAAATATTTCATACTAAATATTACAATATTTATAATAAACAAAAAATAAATATTTGTAGTAATATTTTGTAATATATCTATTTACAAATATTATATATAAAAAAAATAAATGTAATTATTTAAAATTATTAAATTAATAAAAAAATAAGAAATTCGAATCTCAGCAATGGTAAGCAAATTTTCAAAGTACAATTTAAATTCAATTAAATAGCGTGTGAAACAATAAAGTGGAAATTTTAAGAAAAATTCAGGAAAAGAAAAAAATGTATATAAATGTATATATTTTAATAAATATTTTTATAATATTTATGAGATAAATATTTTTCATCTATTGAATTTAAGGTCACAAAAATATTTTGTAAATATATTTGTAAATATATTTATGAAACATTTTGGTAAATATTCATAAAATATTCAAATAAATCTTATAAATATTTTGTAAATGTTTTATAAATATTTTGTGCTGTCTGGGTTAATGG